TGACAAAGTTTACATAGACTAATGGAGAGAGAAAGGCTGGAGATGGCCAGACCAGTAGGGACAACATTGGTACTACAGGTTAGGGCTAATAGGGCCTTAACTGGTTGGTGCAGAACTAGGAAAGATACTTCCTTTTCTTCTTGAGAGACAGAGAACAAGAGATTAATTAGGATGTTAGAAGAATTGGGAAGAACAAATTTGGAGATTAATATAAACAATAGTATCTTTAGACCTTTACCATTTTTAAAAAAGATTTTATATATTTCTTTTTAGAGAGGGGAAAAGGGGAGGAGAAAGAGGGAGAAAAACATCAGTGTGTGGTTGCTTCTTGTTTGCCCCTAACTGGGGACCTGGCCTGCAACCCAGGCATGTGCCCTGACTGGGAATCAAACTGGCAACCCTCTGCTTTGCAGTCTGGTGTTCAGTCCACTGAGCTACACCATTTAGGGTAGATCTTTACCATTTTCAAAGTGTATATGTATGAATACATCACACACTTTGTGGGTTAATATTACACAGTAGGAAATTGAAGCTTAGAAGTGTGAGCTGATTTATCTAGCATTTCCAATTGAAATTCAACTACTGTGATTCCCAGTTCTGAAGTGTTTTGAGTATGTTGTAACTTAGGTGCTGGAGGTATTTAAGGACATAAAAACATCAAAAAAAAAGACAGTACCTGATACATTATAAATTTAGGAATTAAAGACTTTCACGGGTAGGTAAGCACATGGTACGATTTCAGAATGTAAACTCCGGAAGAGATCTTTAGAATAATCTACTTCATCCCACTTTTCACTTTGTAGATTTGAGTGTCCACATCACATTATAGGCTCCAAGCTGGTTAACTTGACTCTTCATCACTTCCTGTCATAACTGAGATATCCCTATGAACTGGAGGAGGCTGAGATGGACAGGACATCTGGATAAGGGGAAAGGAATGCATTGGAGTTTCAAGCCAGGAGACTGTTATCAAAGTGTAGGAGGATTGCTTTTTTTGATCTGAAATTCTGTGACTTACCGTAAAGCATAAAGCTGTGTTTGGGGGACAGCTAAACTGGGCAAGACTTTTTAAAGAATTGAAGTTTCGCAAAATAGTTCAGAGAGAAAGTTCATTGTGACAGCTCTACAAAAGATTAGGAAAGGTCAGTCAACAGATGTTTTTTGAGTACTTTCTATAGTAAGAGCTTTATTGAGCAGGAATCAACACACACGCACACACGCACCGCCCCCCCCCCCCCCCCCCGTGTTTTTCTTCAGATGAAGAAACTAACGCTTAGACTACTTGTTAAATAGTATAGCTTGGATTTAAATAGGCCTTTTAAAATAAATCTTATGCTTTCTGCTAATACATTGTAAAAGGAAGAAAATGCTCTAGTAAATATTTAGTTAATATTTATCACACTTTGCCAGGACCTTTATATACACTTTCCCAGTGTTGCTCAAACTTTGGGCATTTGTGTACTGCCTTCAGAGAACTTTTTTGCCAAATCTGAGAACTACCTAAACTATTATTATTTATGTTTAATGTTTTTCTTGACTTTGGTTTTAGGTTTAAACTGACATTTTTATAACTTAATTTTATCTTAAGGGAGTATGCTAGCAAAATAAAGAGCTTGCTATGATGGTTATTTTAAAGTTCTTATTAAAATAAATACAACTACTAAAATGGAAAAATCTTTCTGTGCAATCTAAAACCATCTTCCCTAGCAAAAGTGTGATATTTTGGGAAACACTGCACATCTCACCCAGTCTTTGTGAGGTAAACACTGTTCTCTCTCGGATGATACAAGGTTAGGGAGAGTTGCAGTAACTTGGCCAATGTCACACATTTTGTGAATGGCAGAGCTTGAACTCAGGCCAGGCTGCAGGACTAAAGCCCACACAATTAAAGCTTATGCATTTCCCCCAAGCTATAGAGCCTGCTCTAAGATTCTGCTTATCAAATGTTCATGAAAATGATACATAATAGGATAGGATATATACAGAGGACTAAGTAAGAACTTGTATGTAAAATTTTCTTCACACAGAGGTGAGAATTAACAAATCATGTGGTGCAATTTGTTTCCTGGAACTTGTAATTAAATCAGGTGATGGCTTTGGTGGTACATATTTCTATCCTACCTACACTGCCCGCTGTGTTCTAAGCTTCCGTCAGTCTCCCACCTGGGCTACACTGCAGCAGCTTCCTAAATGGTGTCTCTCTTTTAATTCTTGCTGCTTTCTAATTCTCCACTGACTGTTCTGCCTTGCTTGGAAGGATTTGGCAGATGAGGTATGAAGGATAAGAGGGACTGAGCAATAAAATAATTGTCCTAAGATCTTGAGCTTCAGAGAACAAGATAGTGGTGTAGAGTGGGTAGCTACGGAGCAATATGAAAAGAGTACCAGCCACTTTTAGGAGGAGTCATTTTTAAAAAAATTTAAAATATTAAAACAAGTGGAATCAGTATATATATATAAAATGTAAAAAAAATTATATACGGTGCCAGGTTGGGTCTATTCCACATGTGCAGGGCTGGCTAAACACTTGAAAACCAATTGATGTAATCAATATCAACAGGCTATTGAGAATGCAAGTGGAATAGTTAAGGGATTGGTGATAACATAGTGATATTTGAGATCCCCATTGCCTATAGAATGGTACTACAAAATAAGCTGAGAGAACAGCTTTAGGAAAATCAGTCTCATGTTTTATAAGCATGTCATAAAATCCAAATCCCTTACTTACCAGCCATTGGAGGCTTCCCATTATCTAGGCTCACCTTCCCTAGCTAGGTTTAATTTTTGCCCCTTTCCAGTGTGAGACCCCTTTGCAGACAGATTAGTTTCTTCGATGCCCTTCCACTACATTGCATTCATTTCAGAATGAGACTACCTGAGTACTCATTTTGGCCCTATCATCCTGTCATTAACTAGCTTTTACTGTGACTTTGGGCAGATTGCTTCAGTTTTCCTAACTGTTACTGTAGGATTATAGCCATAATTTTCTATTACCTAGAGCTATAATTAAATGTATAATAGACATTAAGTTAACTACTGATTATATCTATCCTATCATGTATTTGCATCCTTCTTTAAACTCTGATAGCTCAAAAGTGATGCTGAATTGACTCCTAAGAGTCATGAAGGTGAGGAGAATCGGGAAGGGAGAGTTTTCAGAACAAGTGTGATTAGTTTGTGGATATTCCAAGTTAAAAAGGAAGAATAACACTTTAGTAAAGAGTTTACTTTAAAAAATAAGCACTGAGACCATCTAAAACATACAAAGAACTCTTAAAACTCAAGAATGGGACATGCAGATGGCAAATAAGCGTATGAAAAGAAGCGCAACATTATATGTCATTAGGGAATTGCAAATTAAAACAACAATTAAATAACTACTTCATACCTGTTAAAACGACTAAAATCCAAAACGTCTCTGGCATAAAATGCTGGGTATGTAGGGCAATAGGGGACTGTCAGTCATTCTTGCTGGGAATACAAAAGAATACAGAATGGTACAGCCATTTTGGAAGACAGTTTGGCAGTTTTGTACAAAGCAAAATAAATCTAAACTTACATTATGATCCAGCTCAGATATTTACCCAAATGAATTAAAAATTTATATCCACACAAAAACCTGAACATAAGTGTTTCTAAAGGCTTTATTTGTAATTGCCCAGAATTGGAAGCAACCATTATGCTCTTCAGTAGGAGAACAGATAAATCGGGGTACTTTCATACAATGGAATATTAATAAGAAATGAGCTTTTGAGCCACAAAAAACATGGAGAAAACTTGAATGTACGCTAAGTGAAAGAAGCCAGTCTGAAAAAGGTTACATACTGCAGAGGAAAACTCTATAATATTCTGGAAAAGACAAAACTGTAGAGAAAGTAAAAAGTGCTTGCCAGTGGTTCAGGTGGAGGCGATAAGGGATGAGTAGTTGGTGGAGCACAGGGAATTTCTAGGCAGTGGAACTGTTTTGTATGGTACTGCAATCCATTTCATATATTTGTCAAAACCCATAGATAATGTACACACACAGTGAACCCTGTTTTAAGGTACAGACCTTAGTTAATAATGTATTAATATTGGTCATTTGTAACAAATATATCACACTGATACAAGATGTTAATAGAGGAAACTAGGTGGAGGAGGAAGAGGATATATGAGAATTCCTATTTTTTGGACAATTTTTCTGTAAACCTATACATGCTTTGAAAAGTAAAGCGTTAATTTTATTTTTAAAAAGATTTTATTTATTTTAGAGCGAGGGGTAGGGAGGGTGAGAAACATCAGTGTGTGGTTGACTCTCACGTGCCCTCCACCCAGGATCTGGCCCGCAACCCAGGCATGTGCCCTGACTGGGAATCAAACCAGTGACCCTTGTGGTTTGTACACTGAGCCACACCAACCAGGGCGGTAAAGCATTAAGAAAGGCAGAACATTTTGACAGTTGGAGTCTGTTATAATAATCTGGTTCTTTCCCTGGCTGGTGTTTTTTTTTAAGGAATTGCATAATTTTAACTTGGACATTGGTCTTTTAATAAGCTTACACCTTGAAAACATTTGAGATAGTTATTAGAATTTTAGTTATATTTTAGAATCCTTTTTTCATTTGCAGAGGTGGGAAGAGTACTGTAGCGTAAACTACTTCATTTTCCCTTAATTAAACTGCTTTTAGTTAAGGGGGATTTAAAAAAACCTTAAAACGCAGCATATCATTGTCTTAGTTTCAGATGATTCCATATGAAAGGTTATCAGTACACTGTCAAACAATTATTCAAGAGATTTACTTTGCATACAGTTGGTATGTGTGTCTATGATTTTATTTAAAGCAGAAGTCCAAACTTTTTTTCCTACCAGTTTATACTTCCCCTGAGCAAAATGCTGTTGCACTATGAATGTTTTTGGATTTAGTAACTGATAAAAAAGCTGTGTATAAATTTTGCTCAAAAAGACAACCTGTACAGATAGTAGTTGACTTGGTTTATTATTAATTGTGTTTCATTTTATAGACAGCTACTGAGCCAGGTCAGGCTGTATGCCATTGCTGCTGAAAAAAAGAATTATCTTCAAGAGGAGTCCACTTCTCAAAGAAGGAATGCCAGTCAATTTGACTGGGCTCTGATGAGACTAGATAATTCTGTCCGAAGAACTGGCCGCATCCCAAGGAGTCTTCTACAAAAAGTCTTTGATAACACCTGTCAGTCAGGTATTTCTAACTTTTCTATTCAAAACTTTGAACTCTTAGTATGTACTTGTTTGGGGGCAAGCTCTTTGATACTTTTAGTTTTGTTGGTTATTTTTGGTGATCATGATTTACTGTTATGATTGTGATCTTTCCAATTCATCAGGGTAAAGTTTTGAGTAAGACATTTTGTCTCAGATATTTATTTCAAAATCAAATAAAAATTGCCTTTTTGCTTTCCACAGTATAAAAGAGTCACTTTCAGTGGTAGATTTTCTTAGAAGATACTAGTTTTTATTTTCCATTACATAATATCAGCTTTCCCTAAGATCAAATGACAGATTTTCAGAAACATTGATAATCATTTCCCTTTTACTTTCACTTAGCTATTAAAATTTAAGTCACTTATTCAACTTTGAGAATTTGATGGAAGCTCATAAGCCATCTACTCCCCTGACCCCTCACACACACACACAGAAAAGCCCACATGCAAACACATAGTTTTGCATCTAGTTTAAGAGCATTCGCCAGCTTCCTAAAGCCCATCCATGGAGTTTAGTCACATTAAGGAGCTATAGAGTGCAATGATGAGGGATACCGAAAAAGTGTCTATTAAAATTAAGGTGCATTAAAATAATGCTTTTCCTTTTCTCTCTTTGATTTATTCAGAGTTGTCCAACTATTACCATAATCCATTTCAGAACATTTCTGTCACCCCAAAAAGAAACCTCCATATCCTCATCAGCCCCAAAGCCCTCCCATCCCTTCTGGTCCTAGGCAACCACTAGTGTATCTACTATTCGTATAGATATGTTTACTTTATAAAATGGAATCATATAATCAGTGGTTTCTTTTTGTTTTAAAGTCAGCTTTCAGGGACATTTTGAAAAAGAACTTGAATAAGGGAGAAAGAAGTTTATATTATTTTGTAATTGTTTATAAACCTAAAGTTGATATTCAATGGCTTTTAATTGTACAGCTTTGTGTTATTTCATAATATGGTGAGAAATTTAGCCTTTGAATTGCAGTAAGCACTGCTTATCAGTTAGATTCTGTGTATTTTGTAGTCTGTAGTCTTGCAAACTATATAGATTCATAACTTTAGCTGCCTTAAGAAATTGGACTAATTTTGAAAAACTCAGAACTTTTAGTAACATTAAATTATACTTGTGGATTAGGGTAGGATTTCTCCAGTGTACAGGTAGCCTCATAATACTATCTTTAAGGATTGAGAGGTTTTTGAATATTTACAGATTTCAGTTTAAAATTTGATATTTATATGGTATTGTACTATGTTAAATGTTACCCATTAATCTTTTTTTCATAGGTTGCCCAGGCAGTAATCATGCCTTGCTGCTGCTGCGCAGCTGTGGTTCTCTCTTACCTGAACTGAAGTTCTCCGAGAGGACAGAATTCGTTCACAGGATATGGGACAAACTTCAGAAATTGGGTATGATTATTTGAATATGGAATGCATATAAAATGTGTAGATATTTTTTTCCCTGTAGTTAAAAGAAAGTATTCTTTACATAAGTGCTATAGTTAATTTCATGGAAGGACTACCTGATTCATAATTTTTTTTTGTAATATGATTTATTTGGTGAGTTATAGTGACATCTAGGGGCATTAAGAATAAAATAATTTTTCTTAACAGTGTTACTTTTATGGTAAGCTAAAAAGCAAAAGAACAAACTGAAAAGTCCTTTGGTCTGTCAAAGTTATAAATGCACATACCGCTTGACTAAGCAGTTCCATTTGTTAGAATTTAGATGCACGTATTTTCACATTTGCAGAGGGATATTCTTCATTGTAGCTTGTTTGTAATAGTAAGAAAATGAAACCAATTTTAATGTCCCTCGCTTGGGGATTGGTTAAATAAATTTTTGAGTGTTCATAAAATGGAATACTGTGCAACTGTTAAAAAATGGAAGGAATGTTTTATATACTAATATGGGGTGTTCTCCAAAATATAAATAAAAATTACGATGCACAACAGTGTGTATAATACGCTTATTTTGAAGAAAAATGTTTATAAGTTTATGTGCATATAATATTAAAATATTTCTGGAAGAGTGATAAACACTAGACATAATTTTTATTGTGTACCTTTTTATACTTTTTCAATCTTGAACAGTGAACATAGTACCTATTCAAAAAATAAAGTAGCTCAAAAGACCGTTTCATAAAATTCAACGTTCATTACTAATCTTAAAAAATTTAAAAGAATAGATGGATGCTTCTTTTAGATGTTAAAATCTAAAGCCAACAAATAATAAATACTATGTATAATAACAGTGACATGTAGGAGAAAAGATGTGAAAAAATACTAGAAATTATTATTTTTTAGGTCATATGCTTATTTACCTGTAAAATCCCATAAAATTAACTTACAGAAGTTGGAAATATTAAATGGTTAAGAATCCATAACTTTTCCTAGTTAGAAACTTAAATAATAAAAGTATTCAAATGTAGTCACATATATAAAATGTTTAGGAATATCCTTTAAGAAATATGTAGCACTTACATGAAAAAGAAAACAAAAACCTGTAGAATAAAGAGGGAGCCTCATCTCAAAATTTTGAATTCATCTAGAATTAATTGTGTTGACAAGTTAATTTTTTTAAAGTTTTAAAAATAAAGATGAGATAAATGTATTTCATAATGGAAAAGGGTTTTCTAAATGTAAAAGCAACAGAAAAGTGAAGGTAAAGAATTGAGTGTAAAAACTAGAAATGTATATATGCCAATAAATCACATAATTTTAAAAAAATGTTGAACTAAGAAATATTTGTGAAAAAAGTTATGTTCTAAAATACAAAAAAGCCCTTACACAGCAGTCATAATGTTAACACCTTAATAGAAAGATAGACACATTACTTCCTATTGTAATTGTTCACAAACATGTCTTTCCTCTATATCTTGAGAGTGTAATCCATAACATCTTTGTTTCCTAACTTTGCCAGTACCATGATGCTTTCTTTTTACATATTACTCTTGATAAATAGTTGTTGAGTTAATATTGCCAGAAGCCTAGTCAATTGCCAGTGTGACTCTTGTTCACAAACTTGTAAAGCTGTAAGAGATAGTTTAGCTTAGGTAATGTGTCCAAAGTTACAGAATGAGTTATTGACAAGTCTGAGACTGGAACTGAGATTTGCAAATGAAAAACGATTCTGGAGGAAACACTGGAAGTGATAGAATCTTATTTCAGTGTTACCTTTTGCTAAATTTTTAAAAATGGAATTACTTCTGGTGTATGTCTTTGGCCACACCATGATAAATATGTAAGTCTCCCTAACTTCCGTTCAGGTTGTTCAGCTTTTCTGGAATGGTCTTTATTACTCTTTAAATCAACCCAGTTTTCAAGCTAAGGTTTAAATCCATTCCAGAGTTTATCTCCCTTTTGAGTAAGAAATGACCAATGAAATTAACTGGACAGAATAGTAAACATGGGGATAAAAATTAGTCGCTGAGCTCACAGAAGCATTTTTGTCATCTATGACACTATGCCAGTACAGGAGAAATAAGGAGATGAAACTTAGTAGAGTTATATTGAGTAATAATGTTGGCTGAAACCTATATGAAAAGCTAGAATAGATGTTCATCTGGGTTTTGAGCAAGTTTCCCCAGTTTCTCCAACAAACCAGAGTAATACTTTTACAAAATTTTAGAATATAATTTTCTTCAGCCATAGAGTTGTAGACAGCCACTATTAGAGTTCTTCAGCTTGACTTCATGGTTTTTTAGAAGTTTTTAGACCCTATGTGGTAAACTTTTGCATAATCATATTGCAGATGTTAAGTTGCACATGGTTCTCTGTAAAGCCCTATATAAAGTATTATGGTGGATAAGAGATTGGGCTCTCAAGACAGACCACCTAACTTCAAATATATGGTCACTTACTAGCCATGTGGTCTGAGACAAGTAGAAGTCAATTTTCTTCATCTGTAAAATGGGGATGATAATAGTGCTCGCCTCAGAGCTGTTGTGAAGAGTAACTGAGGCTGTATGTGCAGAACATGTAGCAGAGTACCTGAAACATAGTAAGCACTGTACATGTCTACTAAGATAAAAAACAAATATTAATTTAATAGAAAAGGTCTCTGCAGCCTTGAATATCAGACTGAAACCAGATACTGACCACAGGCCTGTGTGGCCACAGGCAGATGAATAAAGATAAGAAATTTAATTCATGAAAATTTAGTAAAACATGTTAGCACTAGATTGATATGATGGCCATGATGTCATGAGTGGGTACAGTAAGGCTGAATGGTAACCTTAATTGATGTGGCCTTAGGTAAGACGGACACAGAAAGAAAACCAAGGGCATTGGAGTACAGGTAATTAACGATAGCAGGCTAGAAATGCTGTTCAGCAACTGAGAATGGAGTAGAAGTGGAACCTTCAAAGACTTTGAGTAGCCTGGTTGGTAAATAAGCATAATTACCAGCATAGTCCTACCTGTATAAAACAGCTACTGTCGTAATCCGTCCATTTCAGTGTATAATGGAGCAAGGACTGCTTTATATAGAAAAATCTTTCAGCCACTTTAAATACAGAGGTAATGTCAGCATTTTCTAACAGGAGGGAATGCTATGCTTCATATGTAAGAGACCTCTTAATATCTGAATAGGCAGTTGATTACTTGTATCTGTATAGTAATTCAGTAATTACTGTCCTACATGGTTAGCTTGCTGTCTCTTCTTACAGGATTTCTATATTTGTGGGTCTAAGTTTGGGGTGAACTACTGAAGTGACCATTTCACTCTTTTTGTTTGTTAAGTTTATACGTGTTTTAGTTGTGATAAAGAATATGATTTTAAGTGCTTTTGTAAAAATTTGATTTAAATTTTATTTGTAGGTACTGTGTATGATGTAAGTCACTATAATGCTTTACTTAAAGTCTACCTTCAAAATGAACATAAATTTTCACCAACTGACTTCTTGGCAAAAATGGAAGAAGCAAACATTCAGCCAAATCGAGTAGGTAGATGCTACTGAAACTGTTCGTCACAGTCACTTTTTTTTTTTAACCCAGAAATATTAAAAATATATTAACTGGCCCATTTCATTGACAGGTAACATACCAAAGGCTGATTGCTGCTTACTGTAATGTGGGAGATATTGAAGGTGCCAGGTATGGAACTCTATAAAAGCATGTATAAGCAAACAAATGTATGTTATGAAATCTAGATATATCCGCTCTTTTAGTGAGACTCTTCTTAGTAAGGGAAATTATTTCAAAAGTATTTCAATCTAGCATATTTGGTAATATGGTTTATATACAGTATAAAATTGTGTAAGGTGAAAAAGTAAAACTTGGTATTTTAATTAAAAATTTGATTTATTGAAGCAGAGGTTTAAAAATATTGCGGTATAAAGCTGACTTTATAATTGATATTTTTTAAAGGAAATGTTCTTAGCCATTTAAACTTCATTCATTTATAAAACTCACTGATTCATATAAAATCAGTTGTGACATTTCTCTGCTTGTGTAAAATTTATTACTACTTTTGGATAGGGGGTTTAGGAAATAAGGTGTAAATGAAAAGGTACAATCTCACTTTTAATCAGTAAATCCTATTAAACTTTTGCTTTTTAAAGGTTAATTTAGTTGTATAGAAGAAACAATCAGATTTTTAAAAACTGTTGTTTTTAACAAGAATACTTCAACACTATTGTACAATGTCAAGGAACGGGGTTTTGTGTGTACATGTTATAGTGAGTGTTTTTGATGTCAATTCCAAGGAGCATTTTTGTTTCTTTTTTATTGCAGCAAGATTCTTGGATTTATGAAGACTAAGGATCTTCCTGTCACAGAGGCAGTATTCAGTGCGCTCGTTACAGGGCATGCAAGAGCTGGGTAATGTTCAACTGAAGGTTTTGTTCTCAAGTGAGGTTTAACTTACAGGAAAATCTCGCAGAAAATTCTTAAACCATGTTTATCCCCTCAAAAATACCTTGAGCATGTGAGATAGAACCTGCACATTTTAAAAATACCACATTCTTAAATTTATCAGTTTCATAAAACTTTTATTAGAAAATGTTTTGTTTTAAACATTGGACCTGATCAAAAGTAACTGACTTTGTAAAATTTAGTAACTGATTTTCTGGTACCCTGAAAAATATTTTTTGTTTTGAAGAATAACTTAATGTTATTCCTCATTAAAAAGGTAAATCTGAGTCATTAACACACTTAGTGAAAGAATGCGAACTATTTAATGTCTATGTAATTATGATACAATTTGATTTTTCTTTTGGAAAAGCTACCTTTAAAAATTTGAGATGTTTATGATCTTTATTATGTCAGAAACTTATAACCAGTTTAGTATGTTTTCCTTTTCTGATGTTACCATGTTTCTAAATGGTACTTAAGAATTTTTAATTTTAATAAGCATAGGTAATAGAGTTTAGATTGCATGATAATGTTTCATTTGACAGTATTACAGTGATCTGTTTTATTTTTTTTCAATTAACTTACAGAGATATGGAGAATGCAGAGAATATTCTCACAGTGATGAAAGAGGCTGGAATTGAGCCTGGTCCAGACACGTATCTAGCCTTATTGAATGCATATGCTGAGAAGGGTGACATTGACCACGTTAAACAGGTATGACTTGTGTTATATAAAGAAACATACTTTAAAATCATTTGTATAAAAACCAAAGGGGAAGAACTGAGGGAGGGAAGGTGGGAGGGGGCAAGGGAAAGAGGTGGGGGGAAGGCAGAGACAAATGTATTTAAAAAGTAAATAAATTAATTAAAAAAAAAAAAAAAACAACAGTATAGGAAATGGAAAGACCAAAGGACTTATATGTACTACCTCTGGACATGAACTAAGGGGGGGATGCAGGTGGGAGGGAGGGTGCAGGGCGGAGGGGAATATAGGGGAGAAAAAAATGGGACAACTGTAATAGCATAATCAATAAAATATACTTAAAAAATTAAAAAAAAAATAAATAAAATAAAATCATTTGTATAAACTTTGTTTTGCATGGAGCAGAATAATTTAGTTCATATCTGTTTTTAAAGGTATCTCTTGTAGACAGTAGTATTGCTAAAAGAATTCCTATAGTTTGTTAACGTAATAACATTGAAATAGAATATTTCTGTTTTATAAAAGAAGTCTCGAATCTTTAGATGATATATGTTCCTAATTTTTAAAACAAAATGTTGGTATTTTAATATATTTAGCTTTAATTTAAAAACACTAGTTTCTAACTTGTATTTCTAATTTCTGGAATTGTCTATAGACTCTGGAGAAGGTGGAAAAGTCTGATCTTTACCTCATGGATCGTGATTTATTGCAAATTATCTTTAGCTTCAGTAAAGCTGGGTATCCTCAGTATGTCTCAGAAATTTTGGACAAAATTGCATATGAAAGAAGATATATTCCAGGTAGTTTTAAAAGTTTTGTTTTCATGATTTTTCTAATAATCTGAATTACTATTTTTACATGATGAAAAAGGCATTCTCTTAACAATAGGGGGTTGTGGTAGATGAACATAGTGCTCTTAAAGCCAGCTTAATAAACTGAAAAACTTGTGTTAACAAATACACAGGAATGCTTTGATTTGGAAGTGCTTCATTATTATTTAGGATATTATCCTTTTGTGTTTGTAGTTCATAAGTTTGTCTTTCATATTGGTTGCAGTGTAAAAATATTATTCAGTTTGATAACAAAAGACATCTTTGATTTCTTTCCAGATGCAATGAACGTTATTTTGCTTTTAGTCACTGAAAAATTGGAAGACACAGCATTGCAAGTTTTGTTAGCATGTCCTGTATCAAAGGAAGAGGGTCTGAGTGACTTCGGCAGTTTCTTTTTACGGCACTGTGTGACTATGAATACGGTATTCTGTCCGTTTTTACATTGTAGACAGTGTAATGGGTGGTGAAATAAGATTTTTTTAAAATCCTCACTGAGGATATGTTAATGATTTTAGAGAGAGAAGAGGGGAGGGGAGGAGAGAGAGAGACAGACAGATAGAACATTGGTGTGAAAGAGAAACATCAATTGGTTTCCTCTAGTAGGCACCCCGACCAAGACTCAAACCCACAACCTACGTACGTGCCCTGACTGGGAATTGACCCTGTAACCTTTTGGTGTATGGGATGATACCCCAACCAGCTTGAATGACCCAGCCAGGGCAAAATAAAATTTTTTAAATGTATAAAAACCTATTAAAGAGATTAAACAAATTTTAAATATAATGAAAACTTTGTTTTTCTGTTGTAAGATGATTGGGTAGAAGAGGATGGGAAGTTCAGATTTTTCAACCCAAAAGTGTTAGAATATTTGCGGAAGGTCAAAGGGTAGGATATTTGTAGATATAGCTGACATGTCCTTTTTATCTCCTACCTAGCCTGCAGAGAAGCTGAAAGACTACTGTAAAAAGTTAAAGGAAGCCCAGATGCATTCATCTCCTTTGCAGTTCACACTCCATTGTGCTTTAGCAGCCAACAAAGCTGGTACTATATTTTCATAATTAAAAACAATAAAAATAAGTTTTTGTGAGGCAGCTTTGTAATATTTCATGGTATTTCTTTCAGATTTGGCAAAAGCTCTAATGAAGGCTCTGAAGGAAGAAGGTTTTCCTCTCAGAACTCATTATTTCTGGCCCTTGCTAGTTGGACATCAGAAGAAGAAAAATGTTCAAGGTTAGATTTTACCTTTTACAGATTTGTAATGGTTCAGAGATCTGGTATAACAGTTTTCATACACATCTAATTGAATTCTTTGGGAAAGTGTACTTACTCGTGAGTATCAAATCTTCCTAGAAAATAAGAGTAAATTTAAATTATAATAAAATATTACGTGTTTTAAAAACTTAAGTGTAATGGGTTTCTTTCATCTTAATTACATTAATTTTATTTCTTAATTCATCTCTGATCTTGATATTCAAACTTGTGTGCCTAGTTTTAAATAGTTCATTATTTTTATGGTTTTCTAGAACTCTGTAGTTCTTGATTTTACATACAGCATTTGAAATTAGTTTGCCTAGTCTCATTAAAGATAAAGTTATACATAATCAGGCCATTTTCCTTGTGGACCAGTCTATTTCTCCTTCCCTGAGCTGACTTACAATAATAGGAAAGACAGAAAAACTTTTATTGCAAAATGAGTGCTCATGACCTGACAGCCTGCTGATTGAAGGACAGAAATGTTCACTCTCAGGTTCTTAAGTACGTTTAAGCATTTAGCATACTTTTCCCTTGTACACATGGGATGTCTATAGGATATGAATAAGAATTGAACAAATATTAAATTTTAGAGTACAGTATCTAATTCTTTGGTTTGCATTATTGGTAATTCAGAAAGAGTAGTATCATAAAAAGATGCTTTTAACAGAAGTACTTCCCCCTTGGGGAAACAAAAAATGGTCTTTTTCATTTTATGTCGAAGTATAATGTGCTTTAGAATGAGATGCAGAGTTGTTAGTATGACATTGGGTGACAAACAAAATGCACAAACAACAAAAAAAGTGCTTTTAGCAGACTTTCATATTGCAATTTTATTTAAAATATATAGCTGTCTTCTGGCTTAAAGGAAATAGTGAAAGAAGTATTCCCTAATTGTTTCAGGCTATAAAAGTCTCTAAATCCTTTTTAGAAAAATCTTTGGAAAACAATATGCTAGTTGATTAACTCTTGCATATCCTACAGTTCTGAAAGCTTGAAGAAGTAACCTTTAAACTGTGTTTTTGAGCCACAGAAAGTTTATATCATTCCATGAAAATATTTGGGTATATTAGTATTGTCCACCTCTACACAGATATGACTATACTTCTGGGGCCCCTGTTAAAATGTTTGTTTCTTCATCAGGTAAATTTGCTTTCCTCAACCTTAGCACTATATCTAGACTTGAATTGGTTACCACATTTTATCTACTTACTACACACAAAAGAATTCAGGTAATTTTTTTCTATAGTTGTAGCTCAAACTAGTAGAAAAGTGGGTTTTATCTTGAATCTGTCCTTTCTTAGAATGTTAGGATTTAGATTTGTGAGATGCCTTGTTGAAAGCTTACCTTCATCATTATATTGATGAAGGAACTGAGAGCAGCAGAAAGATTCAGTGACTGACCTTAAATTCCACACCTAGCCACCAGTAGTGGTGGGATTACATGTGAGAATCTCTGTCCTCCTATTTTAAATACTGTTTTTTAATATCATAACACCTCCATACTAGACATTTGTAAGTATTATGCTGAATTTATTTTATGAAATATTTTTAGCTGTTTGTTAAAACCTAGATACTGATTTTTGCATTAGGGACATTTTAAAAAGTGTTAACCAATTTTTTTAATCAATGAAGGTTTTTAAAAAAACTTCATTTACCTTTCAATTACAGTTGACATGCAGTATTTTACTAGTTTCAGGTGTACAACCTAGTGTTTAAACATTTATGTATCTTAAGAAGTGATCATATCACTAAGTCTATTTCCCAGCCGACTCCATATGTATTTATTGCAATGTTATTGACTGTGTTCCCTGTGCTGTACTTTACATCCCTGTGACTATTTTTGTATCTGGTAATTTGTACTTCTTCATCCCTTTCACCTTTTACACCCATTCCCCCAACTTCCTCCCGGGTAATAAAGGTTTTATTTGGAAAAATAGAAAAGCTAAGAAAGGAACTTGAGAGAGTAAGATACTGTCGATTGTTTTACAGTTTTTAAAAATTAATTTCTTCTTTGTAGGCGGTCCAGAAATATAGTAAAGTAATAATCTACAATCTTCATGTAACAGGGAAATGTCTGTATGTGTTCTATATAGTTTCTTTAGTGTAAGGTAAGCAAGTAACATTTTTATTAGTGTAGTGATGGTCCAGGGAAAGTCACATAGAAACTGGTAGAAATAACAATAAAATAATGGCTGCAGTGATGAAGGATTTGGTGGAGTGTTTCCAGTGGAATAAATAAAACCCTTTAGGATATCAAAGAAAGGTATTTAGGGGTCAGATCAAACTGAACCAAGAGTTTTCAACAATAGGATGGTCAAATTTTTATTGAATCCTAGAATTTTTCTGACTGCAAATTTAGCCATCACAAAGTAGTAAGAAAGACTCTTATAATGACTTCGTCATGGCTCATCTTACTAGTATTTCTCTGTTGGCCTGAATGAGAGGAAATTACCCAGAATGATTGAGGATTTATTTACATCTCTTGGAATATTCAGACAACATAAAAATAAGGATATAGGGAGGGTAAAATATAAGGAAGGGCCAATATGAAAGGCTAAATGGTAGTTGAATGAAGTGTTTGAATAGAGAATACTTTTCAAAAAGTAAGAACTTGGCTTCGAATAAAGAGAGTACTGTGGTTAGAGTCTAAAATCAGGTCATGTAAATGCTCATAGATGGTGAAAGTTGCTCAGTTAAACCATATATCTTTCCCAGAAGTTTGAACTATTTTAATTCTTATAAAATTTTTTGAATGGAAACTTTCCTCTAGATTCATAAACTTCCTTATGATTTCATTTGAAATATTTTTATTAGATTATTTAGTTTTAGTTTAGAATTTCTAAGTTCACGGAGATTTGGGATCTCTGCCTATCTATGTTAATATATGATTATTTTAATCTATTTTTTAAAAAAAGAAACATTTTATTTTTTAGGAGGATATATGTAGGTATGTCAGATCAGTCACCTTTTTTCTTCTTATTGATAGGTGTTTCTTCCTGTCTGTTATATTATTATTACTTTATTAAGATTTTTTTTTATTTTTAGTGAGAAGGAACAGGAGGGAGAACGAGAGGGTGGGAAACATGAATGTGAGAGAGAAACATCAGTTGGTTGCCTCTCTTACGCGCCCTGACTGGCATCTGAACTCACAACCCAGGCATGTGTCCTGACCAGCAGATGAACCAGTGACCTTTTGTTTTGTACAAAAATAAGAATTATCAATTTGTTGGCCATTTTCAGACATTAGAAAATTGAAGTTACCTTAATGCTGCATTTATTCTACATACTTAAGGAAATTTTTAAAATTGTTAAAGTATTTTAAGACAGGTAAAAAAAATTAAATCATTATGGTTTCTACTAACATTTATTTAATATTTTTAGGGTTTCACATTTTTTTTTTAAATTTTTATGACTGCCCTGGGAGGTAAGTAGGGAGGTTTATTATCATTTCTATATTATAGAATTTTACTTACCTTATTTCCCAGTTCTGTTGCTTTTCTGCGTTTTAGACAAAATGCTGAGTACTCTTTCTTCATTATGATTCAGAAAGTAAATGAACTAAACTTTCTGATATTTGTTAATTTATTCCAAGTTCTTCATCTCTGTGCCTTTAAATTTTAACTTACAGGTATAGTGGAAGTCCTCAAAGGAATGCATGAAATGGGAGTAAATCCTGATCAGGAGACATACATAAATTATGTGTTTCCATCCTTTGATAGTATAAAGTCAGTTCGTGCTATTTTGCAGGTAAGTACAAATACAGTTTTTATTTCATAGTTTAAGAGAATATCTTTCCTCCGTAATGTTCTGTGTAACTGAAAAGAAAAGTCATTTGGCTGAGCATTAAAGATGGTCATGTTTGTGTACAACATTTTTCTAAAGTTTTATAAAAATACTGGTTAGTGTAACATCTGTAGTAGTTAAAAAAAGAAACTTGAAAGTAAAGCAGCATTTTTGTGTGTTGAAAGACAATATACCAGTATCAGAAAATATTTAAATAAAACAATATTTGCTCCTTAATCCCACTCTACAGTGCAACTGTAATTTTCATTTTTTGAATATTATATTCCACTTCTATATGAATTTTCACAATACACTCAATGTATTTACTATTCTGTTTTTTTAATTAATCTTTTAATTTTTTACTCCTAAGCACTATTTTTCTACCCAATACTTCCTGTCCACAGGAGAATGGAGAAGGCCTTTGTGAAAGAGCATATGAAGAAATTGACTTAGTATATTGGATCAGCAAGGGTTGCGCTTCCCATTTTCTCCATTTTCAAAACAAAGTGCTATATGCAATTACAAGTGACATGGCAGAGCACCAAATACTTTAATGAGAAATGTTTTGTTCAAAAATACCTGTTTTTTACATGCTTATTCACATAATGCCTTGACTTTTCTACTTTGAGAGTGTTTTCTTTTTTTGAAAGAATTACATAATTACAAACCTCTGAAATGTAGAGTTTATGTCTTGAGTGTTTTTACCTCTCATCCCTGAGTACCATACCCTGCCATGTATAATGTGCATTTTTTAGCCCAAATTTTTGAGGGAAAAATAAGGGTGTGTATTATACATGGGTATAATGATTACATAATCCCATGTAATGCACACAAAAACGTGGATGCACATTATACATGGGAGCACGTTATACGTGGCAAAATATGGTACTTAGAGTATTTTGAGTGTGCTGTATATAATTTACTGTTAAAAAATATATGGAAAAGGTAATTTCCGATATATCGCTCTCTCTCTAAATCTTTTTTTTTCACATGGCACGTTTCCATTACAGCCATTAAAGCATGTAACTCCAATTATTTTTTAATGCTTTCATGCTGGTTTTTTTCCCCCCAAAGATTTTATTTATTTATTTTTAGAGAGATGGGAAGGAGAGAGGGAGAGAAACATCAATATGTGGTTGCCACTTGTGCATCTCCTATTGGGGACCTGGCCCGCAACCCAGGCATGTGCCCTGACTGGGAATCGAACTGGTAACCCTTTGGTTAGCAGGCTGGCACTCAATCCACTGAGCCATGCCAGCCAGGGCAGTTTGCATGCTGTTTTATTGTATGAATATATCATAGTTTATTCATTCTTAGTATTGATTATTAATATTGTGCTGTTATATAGTGATCCAGTAAGTGTATTTTTTTTTTTTTTTTTGGCCGATGTACTTAAAGTTTAAACAAATGATATTGTTGGGAAAAGTGATAAACCATTTGGAGATAAATTAAATTTGACTTTTACCTTGCTGTATGCCTCATAATGTCATTTTAGATCAGTACGTTCGTTTTTATTTTGTTTTAAATTAGAGAATTTTTATAGTGTCATCAATAGTAAATTCTTTTTAGAAAGAAGGCACTATAAGGGTAATAAATTATCTGAATTTGAAGATAGGTATTTAATTTGAAATGTTGGAGCCCATGCTAAAGTTCAGTTATTCAGTTTACTTATTCTAGAAAATGAAAGATTATTAGAATATGGTGATATAAAGAAATGGGAAAACAGGAAATTTAAATAGGATATCAAAATGTTTTTAGCTGAGGCATATTATTGAAATGTGTTTTATCCCTAGGAAAATGGATGTCTACTTGAAAGTAATATATTTTCTCAAGCTGAATTGAAAAGTGAAGCAGTAAATGGAAACTTGGACTACATTTTATCATTTTGTAAGTATGCAACATTAGCAGTGCACTTGATAGATGCTGATTTCAGTTACTATTGAAAGTATACAGGGTAGTTCATGTGCTCATTGCCTACCTCAGTGTAGTTCAAAGTAATTTCCTTGAAAGCAAGGAAGTTTTTAAATGTCTTACGTAAGTCAGACTGATAAGACAGTTTATGATTTGAACTTGTGGATAATTTGGATGTAATTTGAAAGTTAAAAGGACATTGGAGATGTCCAATAGGTAAGACTGGGGACCCAGAAAACTTGGGTTTTGTTTATAATTAAACCACTGATTATTGGATAGTATCTATTTATTTACTTTGTGGGAGTTGTGAAAATCATGTGATAACTGTTTCTGAAAGTGTTTTCTAAACTAACTCCTGTTTTAGCTATAAGTTACATAAAGCCAGTGCTCATTAACAAAAACACAGGAAAGTTTTACTAAATACTTCTAAATGCAGAGGTGCTTTAAAATGTTCATCACATGTTAATAAAATTACCTCCATTGATTGATGAAGAAAGGCATGGAAAAGTTAAATGGTTTGCCCAAAGTTAGTGATTTAGCTAGAACCAAGATTATCTAATTTTAATTTCATTCTTTTCACCATACTGCATTTTAATAAATAGGACATTTCTTAAGATCTTCATTTTTTAGCATTTTTTTGGTGTTTTTTGAGAGTTTTTCAGATCATGTAGAAAAGATATCCCTTAAAATGTTAAAAATTAAGCTATAATTAATATATTTTCAATTTTAGGTGGAAGCTTTGTAAAAACCAGATTATTGGTATATATTACCTGTGTATATGTTATTTAAAATAGTTCATAATATTGTAAGGAAAAGGCAAAATGTTCAGTGTTAAAAAACGGTTATTGTTAGAGGTGTAGTTATTTGAGGTAAATGTTGTGTATTAATGCTGGTTGCTGAATGGATTGATTTGGCCTTCCACTCTGTATAATATATAGATTTTTCATTCTGACAAGATGAAAACAGAAGCATTAGTAGAAGAATCTGGGCACATAAGGTGCATACATGAGAGCTGCCATTTCTCATTATCATCCCATCCTTTCCACTTCATTGTCAACCTCTTGATTTTTCAGACTTGTTTGTTGCTAAGGAAACTAGATGTTTTTTGTCAGCAGCCTTCAACTTGCTGAGATGTTTCTGGTCGCTTTTTTAATGAATAAAAATGTGACAATATTCTGTAAAATACTAATTTGAATAGTATAAAAATAATTTTTCAAGAGATTGCTTATTAAATTTGAAAAAAAATTTCAGGAGCTTTAAGACTAGAGTATTTCAATTCACTCGATCATTGCCTCCCCTCCCCTTTTGATTTAGAGGTTTTTGGAGAGCAGTTGGTTCTTTAGTTGCCAATGTTCACTATAGGCCGCTCCTAGGTCTGCACTTTTGGTCACCACATCACAAGGAATGGCAGGTAGTAAAGAGTCTGTGGAGTAGTAGGAAATATTTTCTCACTTGTGTTTGTAGGCATGGTAAATTAATATTATCAAGCAAAGTAAAGGTTGCTGAAAGACATTTACTTTTAATTCCTTGAGTGACTAAATACAGGTCATTTTTTAAATGAATTTTGCTTTTCAAACGCTGTATAAAACCCTGAGACTTAGACTCCCTGTTCAAGAGATATAACAGGTGATCTAAAACAATTCTCCTTACATGTAAGTTAAATTTTTATTCACATTTAGGGGAGATGAACAAATAATGTTATAATCTAATGTGATTTTTCCCATGAGGTTTTCTTTTTTAAGTTACCCAGGTATCTTAATCTTCTCCTAAACTGTATTTATTGTCTTCAGAATTTGCTTCCACTATGAGTTCCTCAATAATTCAGTCCATCTGATATCATTCAGTAGCCAAAATTCCGCATATTAAAAAAAGATTAAATCAGTTACATGTAACATGGCACCATTTTAATACAGTGACAGGGAAAATACAGTGGCAGGGAAAATAGAATCAGGAGATGCCTACTGTGATTCCACCCTTTGCTAGTTAAGGCCTGATTCTAGTATTAAGGCCGATCAGACATATGGTATCAGCACTGAAACACACAAGGAGGTAGACGGTTAAATAACAAAACAAGTAGTAGAGCAAACAGATGCTCAGAAAAGTGAAAGATCAATATAAATCAGTTACGAGATTTATAAATCAGTTTACGAGGTAAAGACCTATTTTATTATGACTTTAGGTTGTCACTCTTGCATGAATGCTTGCCATTGGTCATAGTGGAAAATAGAATGAGAAAGTGTGAATGGTTTTAAAAGAACCCAACCCAATGCCCAGAAAAAAATTTTCCCCCTCATCTTCCGTCTTTAAAGGGCAGAGGTGCCATAGCATAGTCACAGTCTCTCCCTTGGTAGCGCCACACTTGTCCATTCGTATACAGCCTTGGTATGGGTACCAGGATGATTCTGAGTATGTTGGTAGATTAGTTATTGTCATTTTTATGAAAGAATATTTATAAATACATTAGTTGTATATATTCATGAAAACAGTAAAAGTGCTTTAAGAAGGTAGTTTATATTGCAAATATATATTACTGCATTATCTAGTTAATTTTATATGAAAGCATTTCCATTTTAAAAATAAAACTTCCAAAATGAAAATGAAAAGGTATTGGTATAAATGTGCTTCCAAATAAGATAGTAATTTCAGTTTTTGTTTTTGGTCTGAGATTTAATGATGACTGTTTTCTTCTGCAGTGGAATCAAATACATTGCCTTTCTCGTTTACTTCTTTGAGGGGCAGCCTAATTCTAGGCTTTAGGAGGTAAGACGATCACCGTATATAATGTTCTTTACCTGAATGTGGTCTGATTTCTCCTGTTTTTTTTAACCTGCTGTATAAGGAAAGATGGATATTCTTCCAAATCTTCCAGTGTACAAATTACCTGAAATAATTTCAATCTGTTTTTTATTCTTCCTATTAAGTAGTTGAGTTCAAGTAGCCTTTTATATCACCTTTTCCAAGAAATACACACAGATTTGGTGATGTTCTTGTTTGAAAGAAGAAAGCACTGTTTGAAAATTGCAAGTTGGAGTTATAGATGAATTTACATGTATGTTTGATTTATACTTTGAATATTGAATTACAAGGTGACTTTTATTCAGTATAATACTCCGCCTCCTCTGTGTCCTAAGAAAATGTTAATGACTTTTCCCTTCCACTTTTGTTGTTTTGAAAACATTTAAACATAAAGAAAAATTGAAAGAATAGTGAAGGAAGCATCCACAAACACTTTTATATAGATTTACCATTTGTTGATATTTTGCAATATTTACTTTCTTACATATTTTTAAAATATATATCTATATATTATGTATAGAGAGAGATATATACACACAGACAGAGTGGGGTGAAAGGTTTACAGTTGTTTATATGGAATATAATACAATATATTTACAAGAATAAACTCTGTTTCACGTACTTATATCTGTATACCTACTTTTGCCCAACCTTGTAGATATATACACTTTTTCCTTTTTTTGCTGAACCACTTGAAATTGTAGACTTCATGATACTGTTGATGCCTGATCCTTCATCTTGTATCTCTTAAGAATAAGGTCATCTGCATAATCACAATAGCAATATTACTCTAAAATTAATAATACTATAATATTACCATATTTAGAGTGTCCCAGTTATAAAAGTCTGTTTTATAGCTGTTTTACTTTTTGATTGAGGATTCAATTAGGATCATGCATTGCGTTGATTGCTGTCTCTACATTTTCTTAAAGCAAGAAAAATTCCTTTTTTTGTCTTTTATGACACTTGACTTTTTTTTTTGGAAGAGTCCAGGCTACTTTATCTGTAGAATGTCCCTCCCACATTTTTATTTGTCTGATTTTTTTTTCTCATGATCAGATTTGGATTGAACATTTTAGCAAGAATACTTTATAGGTGATAAGTATTTCTTACTGCATCAGGAAATATTAATGTCAGCTAAGTTTGATCACTTGGGTATTGTGATGGTTCCTATGTGTCTCCCCTGCAAAGGAACCTTAGTTACCCACTTTGTAATTAGTAAGAAGTCTGTGGGGTGATACTTTGAGACGATGTGTGTATCCTGTTACCTAGCTCCTTTCATTTCAGTGGTTTTAGCAGCCACTGGTAGTTCTTGTTGAATCAGTTGTTAACAGTGGTGGTTGCCAAGGGATGGATTTCTAATTTTATCATTTTGCATATATATTGTTAATGACTTTGACTTCTGATATTAACTCAGTGATTTTTAGTCTGCTTATTGGTTGGAGGGCTAGAGTTTTCTATAGACATCTGGGAGTCACCATTGCAGGCAAGAAAAGGCAGAACAAGTAGGTGGGATTCTGTGTTGCTGCCCTTTCTTTAGCCAGTGCAGTTCTACTATTTCCAGTGGCAGTTTTATGTAAATGAATTACAAAAAAGCAAGGGTCTTTGTCTTTAAAAATAAAGTTTGAAAAATACAGAATACATAATCAAGTGGATAAGACATACTAGTAGAATCAGATTTTTAAAAAGAACCCATGATACATTATGAAGTAAAATATAGCAACATTTTCTTATATTTATTCTTGAAAAAAGATTGGGGAATATTTTTCTTATAAACTTCCAGGTGGTAGTTATTTCCTCCTTTAATTTCACTAATGTTGTATTTTCTTAGTTTGAATGTCAGTTATATTTCATGAAACCTAAACTTACGCAAAGTACTTGGACTATAAAGTTCATCCAATGTGATGGAAAGAAACAAATTATCTTCTGACATATATTCAAGTCAGTCATTAAGCTTTTAGTGGCTTAATTGATTAAAGCGTGCAGAGCTGCTTGCCCCTCTAGAGTGTGTATCTAGTTGCTGTGTTATCTCTGTTTCTGCTTTTTAATTTTGTGTCATCATCTTTCCTGTCATATTTTTGGCTGTTACTCTTTTAACAGCTTTCAGTATGTTTATCTTAAGTATACATACTTAAATAATATGCTGTTTCTGATTTATTGCAGGCTGGCAAATTAGGCAACTGAAGTCGTGTTTGTTTGGTTTATTGTACTATCTTCAGTGTGTAGATTAATACTTGGCACATGACCAGTACAATCGAATTAATTATTGAGGCCTTATTTTCTGCCTCTGTTTTTAGGCATTCTCTTTAATTCAGCAAGTTTTTACTGTTGAGACTGGAGATGTTGGTTGGGATTAGATTGTGAAATATTTTAAATAATATAAAGGGACTTGTCCTTTATTTGAAGAAGGTAGACTAACTTGTGCAATGTAGAGGCTTGGCTGAACCAGAGATACATTTGGAATATATTTTCATTTCAGACATTATATTTTTCATTTCTAGAAATTCATTTTTTTTTTTTAATGTCTTCCATGTCTCCTTAACATGCTCATGCTTTTTTCTTCCTTCTCAACTATATGAGGATTTTAATGATAGATATTTTGATGTCCTTGTTTACTAATTTCATCATCTGTATCATTTCTGGGTCTGTTTATTGGTCAATTTTCTCCTCATTATGTGTCATACATTTCTGTTTCTTTGTAATTTCTGTTTGGATGCCAGGTATGGATTTTGTGCTGGTAGATCTGAATTTTTCTTTTTTGGTATTTCTTTAAATATTTTTGAACTTTGTTGTGAGACAGTCTCAAGTTACTTGGAATGGTTTTCTTGGTGTTCACTTTTATGCTCTGTTAGGCAGGACTGGAGCAGCCTTTAGTGTATGATTATTCCCACTACATTAATTTAGCCCTAGTATTGGGGCTGAGTATCCTTCTGAGTACTCTACCCGCTAGCTCCCAGGTATTTGGAAATTACTGGGAATGTGAGCTGTTCAAGTCCCTGTGTGAAATCTAGGAATTGTCTTTTTCAGAGCCTCTGCAAAGATCGCAGGTAGTTTCCTCAGCTTCAGATTGTCTTCTCACTTAGGTGTGCCTTTCAGCTAAAAGCTAAAGACTGAGGGCAACTCTCTGAAGCTCTCCAGGGCTCTCTTTGTTAAGCTTTCTCCTCTGGTACTCTGCCCTGTAAAAATCAGTTTTAACTAGTCTCTTCCAGAAAAGTATTTTAAATCTGTAGGTTCCAAAACTAATTATGTTGATGAATTTTTTAAATTGGAGATATACAAAAGTTTCAGGCCATGGTAATTTGGCATTATTCATAAAAATATGTGCATAATTCGAAGCATTTGTTACTAGAGGTGCTTTCTTTCTTTTCTTCCCACCCCAAAAACTACCAAAAATACAAAATGTAATCAATGTCATTATAGTCCATTATCTTCACTTGGTGGCCTTTTATTTCATTTGATACTGAATCAAATAATATATATTTTTAAATTCCTTTGTCAGCACATTCAGTACAGCTTTTGAAATAGTCACCTATTGTGTGCTTCTCAAGGTCCTTTTGTAACTCTAGTACCTTTAGAATTGGCTGAGTAGGTAGGAGAAATTGAGTGTTTAATGACATTCTCAAGAGTCCACATTAACTACCTGCAACTCCTATAAGGATTATCACATAAGAGGTTGACTTAATTACTCCCTACCAAAAGAATTATTCATAGTTGTCTGAAATGTTAGAAGTTATAGAACATTATATGAAATATCATAGTCACTGGAGCTAATCTAAGGGAAACTTGGGTATGCATTTCAATATGGGAATGCAATTTTTTGAATATTTGGCTACCTTTAGTATATTCTTCCACTTAGTGGTAGGTACAGGGTGTATGAGGCAGTAGTTCCTGGCATCTGTTCTATAACCTATTTTAGGCAAGATTAATTTTTATACTATCCTACAATATTTTGGAAAAACCAACAGTGATGTCTTCTGGTCAGGTGGAGGCGTAGGTAAACACGCCTTGCCTTCTCACACAACTACAGAAAAAATGACAACTAGACTAGAAAACAAGTATCACCCAGATACATCAGAAAATTGAGCTGTGTGGAAGTCGGACAACCAAAGATTTAAAGAAGCGACTTTCATCTAGACATGTAGGAGGGGTGGAAACACAGAGACCCGCAGAGAGGCATGGAGAAGTGGAGCAGTATGGAGACGCATAGCGGCGCAGAGAGGCACAGAGACCTGAACGGGTGATCCCACACCCACATGCGGAGGATAAAAATCGGGAAGGATATCTTAGGAGCAAGGGATATCAGTCCCAGACCAGACCACCTAGCCCAGGGTTCCAGTGCCAGGAAGCTAAGTCCCCGTAACTTCTGGCTCTAAACATCAGTGGGGGTTGGGATGGCGGAAGAAACTGGGATTCACAGGAGACTCCTATTAAAGGGTCTGCAATGGACTTAGGACTTTTAGACAGACCCACTCCCTGTGGAATTAACACCAGGACAACAGCTGGAAGGGCACCAGTGGCATATGAGGAGAAATAGAAGTGACTGGCATCAGGGCGAGTGCCGAATTCCTCCTGGGCAACACTCCAGAGGCCAGGCAGCGGTATTGTTCCCTCTCCTAGCACTTCCCCACACAGAGTCACAGAGCAGTGACACTAATTTCCCTGCCCTGGCGATTACCTACGGCTCTGCCCCATACAACTTACAGGTGTGTTTTTCAACTATAGGCCATGTTACTAAGACAGGGAATCAAAGCACCTCTACCTAATACACAGAAACACACACATATGAAAGCTGCCAAAATGAGACCAAGAAATATGGCCCAAATGAAAGAATAGAACAAAACTCCAGAAAAAGAACCAAACGAAATAGAGATAAGCAATCTATCAGATGCAGAGCTCAAAACACTGATTATAAGGATGCTCCAGGAACTCTTGGGTACTTAAACAGCATAAAAAAAGACCCAGGC